TTTTACAAAAGCTATGGAAGCAGAAAAGCTAAACATTGGCTGGGAAAAGTGTAAAATTTACGATGGAACGGATTTAATGATATCTTACAAGTGCCAGGGCTTCAACCATAGAGCGCCTTACTGCAGGTATGACGAATGTTGCCGTAAATGCCATCAAAGACATCGCACTCGCGATTGCAATGAGGAGCCGGTTAACAAATGCATAAATTGTATACGTGCAAATGAGAAGCTAGGCTTGGGCCTTGACGAAAATCATGCAGTGCTTGACAAAAACTGTCCCGTGTATCTCAAAACACTTGAACAGAAGAAAAAGAAAATCGGATACTAGCAGAGAACAAACAAATCGTGCAGTCCTCTCCCTGGGCCAAAAGGGTTGAGCGTTGGGTTCACAACCCGCCTCGTCAAACATATTGTGACTCATCATCAACCAAACAAAAAACATAAAACAAGTCAAAAAAAACGGAAGCGTGATATAATTCTGGGAACATGGAACGTACGTACGCTGCTGAGAGCAGGAGCACTACAAGAAACAATTAAGCAAATGGAAAAGTACAACGTTGACGTGCTAGCGGTCCAAGAAGTACGGTGGGAAGGATGTGGTGAAATTGAATGCAACGGTACAAAATTCCGTTTTAGTGGTAACGCTGAAAGGTCTGGTAGGTCGGGGACTGGATTTCTGCTCAACAAACGAGTGGAAAAATCGTTTTTGGGCTTCAGACCAATAAATGACAGAATATGTGTAATCTCCCTTAAAGGAATGTTTAGCAAATTTACGCTGATAAATGCCTATGCTCCAACAGAAGACGCAGATGATATCGCTAAAGAGACCTTTTATACAGACTTAGACGAGACATTGTGCAAAATTCCATCACATGATACAAAAATATTACTTGGAGACTTCAATGCAAAAATTGGAAGAGAGCAATACATTTCTAATGTAGCTGGCTTACACTCACTACACACCGTGTCATCAGACAATGGTAAACGGTTGTGTCAGCTCGCAACTGGCTCCGGTATGTACATTAGCAGCACGCATTTTCCACACAAAAACATACATAAGGGGACATGGCAGCTACCAGGCTCAACAACAGCCAACCAAATAGATCATGTTCTTATAGACCATATTAAGAAATCGTTTATCCTTGATGTTCGTAGCTGTAGAAGTGCGAATGTCGATAGCGACCATTTTCTGGTAAAAGCCACAGTAAGACAAAGTCTAAAGGGCGTGCGTAGAAATTACGGATCTAGAAGGAAAAAATGGGACGTTGACAAGTTACATGATAGCGAAACGGTCCATCAATATGAGCAGAGAGTAAACGAATCACTTAGACATATCACGAACTATACCAATATAAACGAGCATTGGAAAGTTTTTGCAAATTCAATCACAAAAGCAGCAGAAGAAACCGTTGGTGTGAAAAGAAATCGTAGACGCAACAATTGGTTTGATAACGACTGTGCAGTCGCAGTGGAAGCTAAGAATGTAGCCAGGGAGCAAATGTTAAATGACAACAGCACTAATAATCAAAACAACTACAAAAACAAACGAAAAATAGCAAATATAATATGCAAAAGAAAAAAAAAAGAAGCCGTCAATAGAGAAATCCTAAACATCAATAGAGATTTTGCAGATCGAAATGCTAAAGGTTTCTTCCACAACATCAAGCATCAAACAAAGGGTTTTCAAGCGCGAATCAACATGTGTAAAGACAAAGATGGGGAACTACTAGTAGAAAAAGAGGGCATTATCAAAAGATGGCAGGAACATTTTCAAGAACTTTTCAACATTGTTTCGGAAAGTAATAACCTATCCTTAACAGACTTAGCTACAAGTACAGAACAAGAACCTGAACCCAGCCTTGAGGAATTTACAGAAGCCATAAAGCAAATGAAAAACGGAAAATCACCCGGTGAAGATAGTATATCAGCAGAGCTCATTAAACATTGCGGAGAAAGCGCAAAAATAGAGCTGTTTACATTAATCAAGCGTGTCTGGGCTGAAGAAAGGCTGCCGGAAGCGTGGCTCACTGGCGTAGTAGTACCACTGCACAAAAAAGGTGACAAACTAGATTGTAATAACTACCGAGGCATAACGTTGTTAAGCTCATGTTACAAAATTTTTACATGCATTTTAAACAAGCGACTAAAGAATGCAGCGGAGGAAATCTTAGGTGAATACCAAGGGGGCTTCAGACCGAATCGTTCAACGACCGATCAAATATTCCTGCTTAAACAGAACTTGGAAATGAGTTATGAGTTCAATGCAGTAGTGCATATCCTTTTCATCGACTTCAAACAAGCATTTGACAGCATCGATAGAAAAATGATACAGGAAGCTCTACAATCACTCGGGATCAATCAGAAGCTCATAAAACTAATAATGATTACATTGTGCAATACAACTGGAAAAGTGATAGTGCAAGACAGTCTAACAGATGCCTTTGAAATTAAAAGTGGAGTGAAGCAAGGTGACTCGCTTTCAACTACCATTTTCAACCTAGTCCTTCACGATGCTATTAAGTCACTGGTGGCAACAGGGAACATATTCAACAAAACATCACTGACCATTGCCTACGCAGATGACATAGCCATCCTAAGCAGATCACTTCACTATATGAAAGAAAAGTTCATCGACTTACAACTCAGAGCTAAGATCGTTGGGCTAAACATTAATGAGAACAAAACAAAATATATGAGGGTTGGAAGAAACATGCACAGCCGAATTTTAGAGCCCTTTCAAGTTAGTGAGTTTACGTTTGAAGAAGTTGAAAGCGCCAAATACTTGGGTGTCCTTATTAATAAAAACAATGAAATCAGTGTTAGTATACAAGACAGAATTGTAGCAGCAAACAGAAGTTATTACGGACACGCGAAAATCTTCAAATCTAAAATCGTGACCAGAAGTGCCAAACTACACGCTTACAAGGCAATCGTCCGCCCGGTATTATGCTATGGGGCCGAAACGTGGACTCTAACGACAGCAGATGAAAACCAAATTAGAACATTCGAAAGAAAGGTGCTGAGAAAGATTTATGGTCCCATCCGCCTGAATCAAGAAGAATTTCGTCGGCGTACGAATGCTGAACTACTACAACTTTGTGATGGTGAAGATGTGGTGAAGTTCGCAAAGTCGCAACGCTTGAGATGGTTAGGACACGTCATGAGAATGCCGGACGATAGACCACAAAAGCGAATACTCCATTTCACGCCGTATAATGACCGCAGCAGAGGTAGACCGCGTATAAGATGGCTCGACAACGTGACTGAAGACATCAGGAAAATGGGTATACAAAGCTGGAGATCTAAAACATCATGCAAAGCAGAATGGAGAAAGCTGGTTGATGCAGCTAAAGCTCACCCCGAGCTGTAACGCTGATGATGATGATGATAATATATATTAAATAAAATCAATCTATTTTATTTTAGATCGTATTGAAAATTCTTAAAGTGAGTGAAATTATGTTATATGTTGCGTGTTAAACATAGTGTATTGTAATGTGTAACTAAAATGTCTTTTGAAGTTACAAGTATCGTGTTGGTGTTGTTGCTTGCTTGTTGTTATATTGAAACTATGTAGGATGTAAATATATGAATATTTCCTTCCATACAGAAGAACGCGAAACAGTGGTGATGGAAGTTGAAGCGATATTAAAATTACGACCATTGACTTCAATGTCCAATGATTCAACTGATTTGACAGCAATAACTCCAGGACACTTATTAATTGGAAAAGCTCTTACAGCTCAAGTAGATAGGCGGTCAAAACCAGAAAAACATACGTTATTGTCACGTTGGAACAAAGTTTTCCAGTTAAAACATAATTTCTGGAAATTTTGGTCTAACCATTATTTGATGGAACTATATAACAAATGGAAAACACAATCTAAATACATACAATTAGGAGACATTGTTAAAATCAAAGAAGACAACGTCCAAATGATGCAGTGGCTCTAGTGGTGAATTGTACATGTGTACGAGGGTTGTATGGACGGAAATTTTTAAACCAAATTTTCGCGTGCATAAATATACACCGAAATTCATTAATATTTATTTTCACTACCACTAAATTCACGAATATTTATGTTTTGTTTGTAATACGAGTGTTTTGTTTGAGTTATCTTGATCAACTAACTTTATTATTTTACATTATACAATATTTACTTAAACTACTTACAGGCTAGAGTTTCCAACTTTATATAGTTAAAATAATTATTAATATTGTTGAATATGACATCTCGCTTCTTAAAATTGTAATATATTCGAAATATATGTTCTATGTATAAGGTTTAAAGGTATGTATATTATATATTATTCAAATAATATATTCATAATATATACAGCAAATATATATTGTATTCATAATATATATTTGCTGTTGTTTTCTGCTGACGTTGATGAACGGTGTTTTATTTGATTTTGATGACGTCTCACGTAACCGTTGGACGTTTTCACAATATAAACCATGCATCCTAAGTTTTTAATAATGACTGCTTCTACCCACTTCGGACCTCGACCATAATGTTTAATATACACGGTTTCGTTAGGCGAAAATTTAGTTGAACGAGTGACGGGTTTATTGTTGTTTGGTGGTGCTGATAACAGTGTAAGCAAAGTACGTGGCGCACGCCCATGTAACAATTCTGCCGGTGACTTCCCTTCGGCATTAGGAATAGCTCGGTATGTCGCTAGATACTTTACCAAAGCCAATTTAATCGATAACCCATCATCAATATTCTTTTGAACGGATGATTTGAATGTACGTACGAACCTTTCCGCGAGCCCATTTGATGCTGGGTGAAATGGTGCTGTTTTAACATGACTTATGCCATTACGAGCACAGTATTCAGCGAACTGGTCGGAAGTTAGCTGAGGTCCATTGTCACTAACTATAGTTTCAGGTAGTCCTTCTAATGAAAAAACTGCTGACAAAGCTGCTATGGTGTCAATAGTGGTGATAGTTTTAAGCTGTACCACAAATGGAAACTGTGAGAAAGCGTCAACTACTATTAGCCACATAGACTGGAACACTGGGCCAGCAAAATCTATGTGTACTCGTTGCCATGGTCGTTCTGGCTTTGGCCACTCGTGGTATTTTTGTTTCGGACTTGAACCCGCAATTTGACAAACACTGCATTGTGAAGCAAGTTTTTCGATGTCGTTGTCAATATTAGGCCACCAGCAGTGTTGCCTAGCGAGTTGCTTCATCTTAACGATGCCCCAATGGCCGTCATGGAGAAGCTTTAAAACTGACTGATGCAAGGATTGAGGTACAATGACTCGAGTAGCATCTGTCTGTAAATAAATCAAATCATCTAGAATAAAAAGAGCATACTTACGACGAAAATAAGGAAGCAAATCCATGTCGCCATCGGCTAATTTTGTCCGCCACCCTTCCGAAATTAAATTTTTTACACGTTTTAGTATGTAATCGTCTTTGTAGTGCTGTTGTAGCAATCCGACGTTGATAAGTGTGTCATAATTTTCTATTTGATAACAATGGTCCAACCTGTCGAACTCAGGATCTGGTCCACAAGGCAGGCGTGATAAGGCATCGGCATTTGAGTGATCGGCAGTTCTACGAAACTGTATCTCAAACTGATAAGACATCAATGTTATTGCCCAACGTTGCAACCGATGTGTAGACATTGATGGCAAATTTTTGTTTGGTCTGAAGATGCTTACTAAAGGTTTATGGTCCGTAACCAGAATAAATTTATGACCAAATAAGTAGTGATGGAAACGAGTAACTCCAAATATTATCGAAAGTGCCTCTTTTTCGATTTGGCTGTATCGAACTTGTAACGACACTTTTTTGGTGACGTTCAAAAATATTTAGTTTTTGCTGGGGTATCCTCAGCCGTCGTCCAGAGTCATTACAATGAATTTATTTTTTTCGGGGACGTAGGTTTTATAAAAAAAGAAAAGGAAACGTTCGTTTACTAGATTGAATTGTATAGTTTATTTACTTTGAAAGACAATATTCCAAAAGAAATTATTCCAACGTATGATAAAGTTATTTCAATTACAATGTGATTATAAATAAATTTATAGTTTATTTACTTTGAAAGATAATATTCCAAAAATTATTCCAACGTATGATAAAGTTATTTCCATTACAATGTGATTATAAATAAATTTATAGTTTATTTACTTTGAAAGACAATATACCAAAAATTATTCCAACGTATGATAAAGTTATTTCAATTAAAATGTGATTTTTAATTCAATAAAATAAGAACAAGAAATGTGCCTCTTCTTTAGCTCAGGCTCCTGTTGTATTTCCTATCGTACTTGTCGATGAGATCTTCACTTGCAGTAGTTTCCCGAATTTCCTCCTCTGTTGCCTAAGACCGACTCCTTTTACACCTCTGTAAGTTGCTTTAATTTTACAATTTAAAATTGGAAAGGAAACTGATTACAAATCTATCCTAGAAGAAGAAAGATATAGTACAACTCGATATGTATTATTAAAAGAAGGTATATGTATATATATGTTTCATAGACATATAATTATGGCCGTTGTCGTAACACCAACGCAGGACTTATATATTTCTGATATATGTTTCATAGACATATAATTATGGCCGTTGTAGTAACACCAACGCAGGACTTATATATTTCTGCTATATGTTTCATAGACATATAATTATGGCCGTTGTCGTAACGCAGGACTTATATATTTTTGATGTATGTTTCATAGACATATAATTATGGCCGTTGTCGTAACACCAACGCAGGACTTATATATTTCTGATATATGTTTCATAGACATATAATTATGGCCGTTGTCGTAACACCAACGCAGGACTTATATATTTTTGATATATGTTTCATAGACATATAGTTATGGCCGTTGTCGTAACACCAACGCAGGACTTATATATTTCTGATATATGTTTCATAGACATATAATTATGGCCGTTGTCGTAACACCAACGCAGGACTTATATATTTCTGCTATATGTTTCATAGACATATAATTAGGGCCGTTGTCGTAACACCAACGCAGGACTTATATATTTCTGCTATATGTTTCATAGACATATAATTATGGCCGTTGTCGTAACACCAACGCAGGACTTATATATTTCTAATATATGTTTCATAGACATATAATTTATTATAATTTTTCGGCGTAATACCACCTTGACGAATGTTCATAGACTCGTGCCTGCTTCAAAATTTAGCTGCCTTAAATACTCCTACGCCGGAGCTTTCGTCTAGCGTATTTTAAATTCTTCCGTTCGTTTACCTGCTGTGTTTCGCAGCGTAAACCGCTGTGCTTTTATTCTTGGCCGTGTAGCCGCTGTGCTTCTGATCTTGCCGTATTTCGCTGCGCTTTTGACTTTGTTTTCGTCGTGTTTTGTTTCGACAGTTTGTTATTTTAACACGCGTTTTAAATTCGTCAATAAACAATAATTTTTTGTTATATAAAATAAAATTATTAAAATTAAATTTAAATTATAAATTATATTAAATTAAATTTTAGTATTAAATTATAGTATTAAATTATAATATAGTTTAAATTATTGTAAATAAATTAAATTAACCAAAATTTCAATTTTTGTGAAATTCAATTCTGTGTTAATTCAGTGCCTAGTTTTTTATGTAGGCGGAAATTTGGTGTCAAAATTTCCGTCCTTACAAACTTGATGAGTGTTGAGCGTTTTTGATGCGAAAGCAATAGGGCGCTCTGTGCCGTCTGGATTTCGATGAGCAAGGACAGCTCCAATTCCATATGATGAGGCGTCAGTAGCTAAGACTAATGGTAAATGTTCTTGAAAATGTGATAATTCGGTTGCGTCTATTATGTGTCGTTTTAAAGCTTCAAATGCTTGTTCCTGCTTAGTGCCCCAAACAAATTTGATGTTCTTCCGACGTAAATGATTGATAGACGCGGCCAATTGCGAAAAATTTGGAATAAAGTTATGGTAATAATTCACTTTACCCAGAAATGCTTCGACTTCTTTAATGTTTGTTGGGCGTGGCAACTTTTTTACAGCCTGAACACCTTTTTCATCAGGTAAAATACCATTTGCACTAATTGTTCTACCTAAATATTCCAGTTTTTCCACTAAAAATTCACATTTTTTTTGTTTGCAACGAATACCGTTCTCAATCAAAATTGACAACATTTTTTCTAAGCGTTGACGATGTAGGTCCACCGTTTCGGCCGCGATGATTATATCATCAATATAATTACCACATCCTTCTACACCTAGTATAAGTTGCTCTAAATGATTTTGAAATATAGCAGGCGCGCTGGCAATTCCATAAGGAAGCCGCTGATATTGGAAAAGCCCTAGTGGTGTATTGACTACTAAAACCTTTTTTGCCTCTTCGTCCAACTCCATTTGCAGGTAGGCATCCTTCAGGTCGATTTTAGAAAAATATTTTCCATATCGGACAATATGAAGTAAGCTTTCTCGCGTTGGTAATGGATATTGATCGACACCGATTTGTTTGTTCACTGTTGTTTTGAAATCGCCGCAAATGCGAAGAGAGCCATCTGGTTTTGTAACCAATACAATTGGCGAAGCCCACTCACTAAATTTTATAGGTTTCCAAATACCACTATCAGTCAAGCGTTGCGCTTCTATTTTAAATTGATTTATTTGAGCGAATGGAATAGGTCGACTTTTACAAAATTTAGGCACGGCGTCTAATTTTAAATGTATTTTTGCTTTAACCTGCTTAATTGTACCTAAACCAGGTTCAAACAAAATTTTATTTAAGATTTATTTTTATTGGAAATATTAAAAATCAAGTAATTTTACAAAATTATTTTTAAAAATTTAATTTCATTAGTTAAATATACTATTTAGATATATAAATTTTATTAAATTTAAGATAAAAAAGTAAACGCATGTATAAAGTAAATGCAACAAACATTTACAAACAACAAGAAATGTCAAATCATAAAAACTTTTGTTGAACAAAACACAAAGTACACGAAAAAAGCACAAAAATCACAAAAAAATAAACAAATAGTACAAAAGGTTACAGCAGAAAAATAAAAGATTGCGGGGTATGATCGAGGACTTGGATCACTTTGAAAGTGACAAATACGTTGGCTTATTCAGCCTACTGGTTCATTAAACCAAAACCTGGCTCATTCAGCCAAAGTAATATAGACCTGGCCAATTCAAATTATTTAAAATTATTAAATCATTATCGTGTTTGTTTCCTCTAACCTGGCTCTTTCAGCCAAATTATTATATTTCTTAGCATAGGGCATCCGTTGTTTACGAAAGGAAGTTGTTATGTAGGCCTGTGTGGAAATAAAATGGTGATACAATAAGAATAACAGAAATATTACAGACATTACCTCGGTTTACCCGCGACGCCCATAAGCACGGCCAACGTCCGTACCGGTGGTTGTGTTTTTTTGTTAGGTGAGCGTGCACTTCACCATCTGAATCCGCACCAGATCCCATTGTTTAATTTTCTGCTTTGCGAATAATTTTTTTATATTAGAATATAATTTTATATATATATATAATTACTTGTTTTGGTTTCTTTTGATCAAAGTGACAGCAAAAGATTTAGGAGTTGTAAAGATCAATGCTGCCAGAGCAATGCACAATGGAAGTATTAGAATAAGTTATAAAAGGAAAAAAGCAGGTAATGCAGGTGGGGCGTTCGGAATGTACAAAAGAAAAAAAAAAAAACAATATTAACTGAAGGTGCAATGAACGACCTCCAAAAGTGTACGGGATGAGTTTACAACGGGTGAAATTACGGAAAGATGATAGATATAAAAAGAAAGAGTGTTTGCTAGCGGCCTTCTTGAAAAAGTATTTTGAAAGGTGACGGTCGATTTCCGCGGGCAGTTTAAAAAAAAAAAAAAAAAGTTTTGTACGATATATTGAAATATATTAGCTAATAGTGAATATTAAAGTTAGCTATTATGAGTGAATATATTAAAGTGAATATTTAAAATTAAAAATAAATAAAAACAAAAAAAAAAATATCTGAAATATCTGAATATCTGAAATTGAAAGCTATTAAATTATCATAATTAATAATTATGTGATATAGATTCATTAAAATATTAAGTGGCATCAACAAAGTAGCAAGACACGCGTTGTTTGTTGAGGTTCGAATGTCAGTTCGGTGCGGAAGATACTTTTCAGTTTGGAATTTGAAAATTCAATGTAAAAAGCGTGCGTACACTTGTCATGAAACTATTAAAAGAAAAATAAATGCTAACTAAACATATGTAAATAAAAATTTAAAAACAAAAAAAAAACAAATATTTACATGAAAATAAAATATTTTTATATTTGTTTGTAAGAACTCAACAAAAATAATTTACATTTTTGAAAGTTTATTATGTAAATAACAAAAATTTGATCAGAAAATAAAAAAAAAATTAAATTAAAATTTAGTGAAATTATTTATTACAAATTAAATAAAAATCACATAAAACTTATACATCAAGTATTGAACAACGATTGTTATAATTTCATTACCGCGGTGCAACAATCTCTCCACAACAACAACCACAATACCAACACCAAGAGTCAACAACAGTGAATAATAAGAAATTACCTTTAGAAAGGAAACAAACGAAGAAGCACACAAGCCTGAATTTAAGGGTCAACTACAACAACAGCTAAGTGGCGAATTAATAAAAAAAAAAAAAAAAAAAAAGAAATAATATTAATATACTATTTAAATAATATTAATATACCTGTTATATACCTATAATGTTTTTCTATAATATAATTTTCACAAGATTCTTATTAACATTAAGTTTTTAACATTCCATGTAGTTAATATTTGAATCCGATATAATTATATAACTAATTTATTTATTTTTAGAATGATTTTTTTTGATAATCTTTTCTTTTGCATATTCCAGTCCAAATAATTTTTTTTTTTTGTAAACTTAATTTGAAATTGTAATAGATATGTGTGTATATAGGCAGTGATTATCTACTGTTAAGGTCTTTAAGAGTGCAAGAGGGAAAAAGAAATAAAGGGATTAGTTTGTTTCTATTTGCAGGTGATCTTGCTGGTGACGTCATCAACGAGGAGTCAACGAACCTGTGTGTAAGAGTAACGCATTTAAAGAGTGTTACAGATAATACTTCTCTTTGTTTTTTTTTTTTCTCTTTTGATTTCTTTTGCAATTTTATTTTTTTGTGTGGATGTAGGTATACATACATATTACACCTTTCTTTCTCTTTAAACAAAAATTAAAGTGTATATATATATAAGATTTATTCCATTATTATCAATTTTTTTTCGCTAATATAAATTGTCTATCTTCTACTTCAAATTATTTTTTTTATTTTTTTTATTATTTCTAGCATTTAAAATTTTTTTTGTAATAAATTAAACGTAAAAAATATGTAAATTTAATTTTATTTAATTTTAATTCACATTATTTTGTTTTGATTATACGATAAATATAGTAGTTATATAATACAAATTGGTTGTTTTTTTTTTTTAAGCATGTCATAAAAGAACAAATGATGGCTTAAGGTTAAGAGATATATGTGACGGGTGTAAGTGAAGAAGGGGGCAATTTTAGATTGAGGTAAAAATAAAAATGAGTTAGACTAGGAAAATTAGGGAGCTGTAAGGAATTTAGTAGGACCTTTTACTTCAGCTCAATGGTAATTACGGAAGAGTAGTGAGGGTGGGTAGACAATACGGACTAACACTGGTAGACTCATTATTACAAGGAAATAGTTTTTTTATTTTTTGTTGTTATTGTTACTTTCCTTGATTTTTTTGTGGTGATCTACTTTGATCACATTTATTGCAATTTTTTTTGTTGTTTTGAACAATATTCTCTGGCACGATTGTTTTTTTTATTTTTTTTTTGTTACGATTCGAATGTGTTATAGCGGAGTAAATGACCCCCCATTTTCTGACCAGCTAGCTGGCTTCGCCACCGTGCCAGACTTTAACTCCGCACACATGAAAAATATCCCAAGATGTTTGAATGTAACAAATGGGGCCCAATGACGGTACTGACGAAAGAACAGAACTTTATTCGAACGACTGACCAACGACAGGATAAAAATGATAGAAGTCAACAATGGACATGAAGATGAACGAGGTGAACGCATAACAAACGGAGCCCTGGTTCAGGACAAACCAAACAACGAACAGATCAACGATATACTTTACTCTACATTACAGTCAACTGACGCACAGTAAACCAGCAGACAGGTGAACACGACTGACGTAGTAAATAACATGTAAAACATATTTTATATTTTTTTTAAATTTGTTTCAATTTCTTTTAAATATTCTTTTCTTGTAAATATATCTCATTGAATAGTTAAATAGTTAAATTATCACTGAAACTAAGACACACTTTCCATTAAAATTATGTTGTTTTATTCCAAATATCATTAAAAGCTTTTGTTTTGATCATTTTTGAAATGAAATTGCATGGGAAGAGGTGAACAACCTTGTTAGGTATTTTGCAGTGCAAATTGTTTGTTTACTTCAAGTAAACGGGATAGGTTTGCTGTAGTTTTAGCAAAATGTTTGGATTTTTTTTGTGATAATTTTTGTTGGACAGTGGGTTTTTTGTTTTTTTTTTATTGTAATTAATACTGAACAGATAGTAATAAAGAAAAAAAAAACAATAAACTATGTTAATATTTTTTACCAGTGTCAGACAGATTGATTGTATGACGGCTTGACAGAATTAGTGTTAGGTTTGTGTTTTGGCTTAATCGCTACAACATACATTCGAACAGGATAGGTTTGAGGTGATTAAGGTTTTGTTTTTGTTGCTTTAAATCACAAGCAAACCAGCAGCTATACTGAGGTGCCGTGAATCTGTTTGTCATATACGTTATACGTGAAATTCAGTATAGGAGCAGGTGATATGAATGTGCTGTGAATGATAGAGAGTATGAATGAAAGATGAAGTTGAAGCTGCCGATCATTTAGAATGAGTTCAGGTGGTTGTGAGGCTTGCTTTAGAAACAGCTTGTGAAAGGGTGGGTTTAGAATTTTAGTTGTGTTAGCTTTTGCGGTAGTTTAGACTGTAGCAAATTGTAAAGCAGCTAATAATTCCTAGAATTTATGGGGGAGACTAAAGACTTAGACGCGACTCAACTCATTTTCATTTTTTATCATTGCCCCTGAAATAATATCACTGAGAATACACCAAAGGTCATCTATATTCTTATTATTATATTGTAAAGATTACAAAATTCATTTGAATATTTAAGAGTTTTGTTATTTATACCAAATTTTGGTTTTGAAGTTAGCTTAGCTTGCTGAAGCATAATTTTAATTTGAGTTTTAATTTGGATAGCAATTTTGAGAGTATCCACAAAGTTTTTTTCTTTAGCTCTTTTAGTTGAAATTCGCAACTAAAGATTAAGAATTTATTGATTGGAATTAAAAATTATTTTAAGTTTAGGTGGAATAACTTTAAGTATTATTTATTATTATTTATTTTGGTGGATTTTTTTTGATTTCTTTACCTTTAAAAATCTTTATCCCTACGTAAATATACGTATTTTTTTTCTTATGCTTTATATTTAGTTTTTTTTTTGAATTTATTTTTGAATTTTAGTTAGTAAGCTTTACATTCAAATTTTTAGATTACGGATAGGAGTAGTTTTCTTTCTTAAGTTCTTTTTCGGTTTTTTTGAAATATATTTATTACTTAATACTTGATACTTAATATTTTTTTTAGGAATTGAAGTAATAACGATATTGAATAATTTGAATCAGTTAAATAAATAGGAAACCGTAATTAGTTATATTTTATATTTCCACTCGCGATCGTTCTCCATTAATCAAACAATAGAATTAAAGCGGACTAACTTCGTGGAGCGAAATTAACTTCAAATTGGTACTACCCAGAGCTTAGTAGTAATTTGAAGTTAATTTATAACAAGTTCTTGCTAGATAGAATAGTTTTATCTGAGTTCAATTTTTGAAATTTGTTTGTGAATTGCTATATTTATTAGAAATAGATCAGATAAGGATCAGAGGTGTAACAAATATGGAGCCTACATATAATGAAGTCGAGGTAGATGAAGGTGCTAGCAGCCAGGTAAGAGGTGCTAGACCTAAAACTAAGAGACGTCCCTTAACAGGAAAGTTAGCTCAGAAGCCAGAAATAAAATCAGACGAGAAATATGCACTCCAAAGATCTTTTAGTTTCGATAGTAAACTCGAACATTTAACTCTTGATAAGGTTAGCGACTCCGAGAGTCCGACCGAGATCGAAACCAGATCGAAAGACAGAGACACGGCAAGCAAAGGTAACAAAGAGTTACCTGGCTCGTCAATTAATGAAGAATTGGTTAGGCAATTTGCAGGTATGATGAGACAACAACAAGATTTCTTTACAGATTGTATTCAGTCTCTGAGAGTAGAAGTTGGGGCTCTCAATAATAGAATGAAAGAAGTAGAGGGGAAACCTTTAAGTACAAGTCCCCAACAT